TTTGTGAGGAGCGGTTCCAACTCTGGGTCGTGCTCAGAGGAAGGCTCTAGGGCCAGTGAGGAAGGCTCAGGATAGAGATAGGTTCAAAAAGGACTCATCCAGTAAGGAGGCAGAGTCACTGGCGTGCCTGCTTTCCCCAGGGCTGTCCTGACTTTCCTACACCCACTGGAGGGCTTTGGGCTAGGGTTCTGTACGCATGGGGTGAGGCAGGAATCCTATCCTTCCCATTTCCTTTGCTCTTGTGACAAGAACTGTCCTTCATCTGCCCCAGATCTGGGCACCCTGCCCAGAATGGAGGGGAAGGGGACAGACCAGCAACCTTCATTTCCAAGTCCTTGGGTCTTCAGCAGCTTCAGCAACGCCAGCAGCAGCACAACGGAGGTAAGCGCTGGACTTGTCTGCACGCTGGAGTCAGACCACTGTATTTCGGAGACAGACCCCTGTATGCTAGATACAAACCTCTGTATGCAGAAGACCACTGTATGCTGGTGACAGACCCCTGTATGCTGGAGTCAGACCCCTGTATGCTGGTGACAGACCCCTGTATGATGGAGACAAACTGCTGTATGATGGAGTCAGAGCCCTGGACGACAGAGTCAGACCCTTGTATGCTGGAGAGAGACACCTGTGTGCTGTAGTCAGAGCCCTGTGACCACATATGCAAGCCTGTGGTTCCTACAGCCTCCTACAGCCTCTGTTTTCTCTTCTATCAAATGAATATTCAGTTGATCCACTTCTTCCCTGGAGCCTAACAACGGTTCAGAAGTAATAACCAGGCCCATGAAACCACGGAGCAGCAAGATCTCAGGTGCTGATCCCTGGTCTAATGTCCGTGGTCTTCTCAGGCCTGACCTAATTCACACCTGGACCCACATGACCCCGGCCGGGGGAGGGGGGGTGTCCCTGACCTAGTAACACTCTGTAGTATCCCCTCTCCCTTGCCACCCACATGCCTTCTGGTTCCTGGATAACGACGTTCTCCCAGAACTTCAGGGACCAGATGCTCTTCTGAAGGGAATTGTTCAATTCTAACGGTGCCTTGAGGGATTTACATGGCTGGCCAACCATCACTGGGCATTTTTTGTTACCAACAAAGCATGGCCTGCCATCCCAAATGTCCCTAGATAGTTGGTGGCTCAGAAGTAAAAAGACAAGCAGATGGAGAGGAGACTTAATCACCAAACGCCACACAGTCACTTTCCTGTCCCCTCCCCTCCATCTTCCCGAGGACGCTATGCGGAATTTCCCACCACTGCAAACTGAGGCTCACCTCACGGGAATGAGTAAGCCAGTAATGACGTGGGTGGATACCTAACCCCAAGAAACCTCCGGACACTGTGTCACATGTGACAATTCCCCCACGCCCAGGTCCTACCACACATAGCTGGTCACCCTCACAGCTATTCTGTGCAGCATTTTGATGCTATGTCACTTGGGCATCTGAGGTGACAACAGCCCCATGTTCAACAACTCAACCATCTCCTGTGGCCACAGGATTGTGCTGTCCCCTAAATCGCCAAAGACCTTAAGAGTCCCTTGCTCTAGAGCCAGGGCATGGCCTGAGCCCATCATTCATCTGGCTGCGCACAATCCCGAAAAGACTCGGCCACGCCGTGAAGGCTTCTATCTTCAGGGCCACCTCCCTTGGCCAGACTACTTAGGAATGAGAAGGGGACGGCTTCCTGCTGGGAGCTGGCACAGCCTTTCTGTCTCTGACCCTCTCAGGATACCAGAGGCCCTGACTCGGCAGGAATGAAGAAGGCACAGAAGCAAGCCATCACTCTTCCACTTGGTCCAGAAGCTCTCCTCTTGTAGGGACTGATGCAAGATAGCAGATGGAAGGGTGAGGAAAATTGTAAGCCATGATCCTGGAACACCTCGGTCCAAGTCTTGACTTTCTAAGTGGGCCTGCACTTCTGCTTCCCTGAGAGAATCACTGATGGCCAGAAGGGAGCAGGAGGTGGTAATGGGCTACTCCTCCCCCCTTGCTTCACTCTCAGCATGTCTCAGTCCCAGCTTTAGGGATGCTTCCATGCAATGTCCACAAGTTGATCTCAGTGGTCCCAGGCTCTTATCTTATCTTATCTTAGCTCCCACTGTGGCCCTGCCAACTCATGGGTGAGAAAATGGAGTCTTGAGTGTATACGCATGCTGGTGGGCGAGTAAGTTGTTCGAACTCCAGCTCTCCCATGAGAAGGGGAGGAGAGAGGACTGGGCCCCAGTCAGACAAGACAGGACACTAAAAGCTGATCTCACTCGGATGCTCAACACTTCCCCTAGGTACTTTCATGACAGCCCTTCTCAGTGAAAGCCTGCCTGTGGCCTGGATGCCACGTGGATTCCCGTAGCCTGGACACTACAAAGAGATCCTGGCACTTGCCCAGTTATTAGCTCTATGGTTCTTCAACCAGCTGCCTCACAGAAAGGCCCATAGTAGAGAGCCTGTAGGGTTGGTGAGAAGGTACAGATCTGTGGGGAAGTCCATTGTGCCCCTAGACAACATCATCTCTGGGTGGCAATCCTGTTAAGTATATTAAATGTTGCTCAGCTGAAGAGGATGAAAGAGAAGCCCTCAAAGGCCACAATATAATTGGAAGAGGGCCACTCTAAGACTGGAAGAGAGCCTAGACTGGCCACAGAGAAAGGGGACATCTTCCATAGAGGGGATGGCCATAGTTCCTCCATCGAGGTAGGAAACAGATGGCTTCCCTGTAGGCCAGAGTCAACCAGAATAATATTTCCTTTCTGTAATAAACACTTGACTCATTTTCAAAGCTCTTTCACCTACCTGGAGAAGTTACATTCATGCCCAGCTGTCAGGTAGGGCAACCCAGGGCAGAGTGCCAGCAAGTAGGGGTTCTTGGTTCAGAACAGGCCCTCAGTTCTGTAGGCCTGATTCTCCTTGCATGACCTGGAAGTAAGATGGGGGCCTTTTGAAACCTGACCTTTCATAGCTAGTCTGAGAATCCAGCTTCCTGGACTGTGCACAATGGTCTTTCTCCTGAAGAAGGGCCCCAGTGGAGACAGTAGGTGGGGGGTCCTCTTCTCTGGCACTATATTGCCACCCCACAAGCAGCTGTCTCCAATACAGTCTTCTGGAGAGTCCATCCTTCCCTACAGGTCACCCCCAGAGAATTCCTATAACCAACTAGCAGTCCAGGGATTCCCCTCTCTGGAGCCCTGCTTCAGGGACTCTGGACAAGAGGGTATGTCTGGAAAGCAGCCAGGTCCAAGGGAACATCTTTCATTTGGCATAGGGGTTTGGTCAGAACCTCCTGTCCTGTTGGGCTCTCAGATGGACAGCAGGTCCCCTTGTCTACAGTTCGTAACTATGTTCATGCTCATAGCTGCTCCTACAGTTACGCAGGCCAGAGAGATGTCTGTCTTTGGCTCTGATGGGTCCACAGGACAATGTACCCCTGTGGGGACATGCTGGCAAGGTATAATCAAGTGATTTCCACTCCCTCCTTCAAGCTACTTCCTTACCAAGTAACTAACAAACATTCCTCAAAGGAGGAGAACATGATGGCTCTGCTCATATCAGCTCCTACCTGTCAGGGGACATTCACACCCTCAAGTCCCAGGGCTGGGGAGGGGGTTGGGAGAGAGAGAAGCAAGAACGACACCTCTTCAGTCTGTTCCGAGATGTACAGGGGAAAGATGCTGAGCAGCCCGCCATACCCTCTGTGCCTCTGTGCACAAGGATGAGAACAGAACGGATTCTGGTTCTAAAATACCACATCTTGCCCCTGCCTCAGTGACCTTCCAAGAAATAGACCTCAGCCCCATGAAGGAGGAGGACAAGATGTCTTAAGAAGTTCCACTAGGATGGGGAGCAAATCAGAGTCCGCCTGATGTGGGGGCACCAGTCAGAGAGGACAAGAATTAGAATGGAAGCTAAGAGAAGGCATCCCCGTGACACACTCCACCACCCTTCTGGAGCAAGCACCACAACCCCTGGAAGAAAGAGTCCATCTCCTTGTTTCCCTCAGCACCCTCTCCCTCCCTTGGAACTTTCCTTGGGCCCGATAAAGGCCGGCACACGGCACTTCCTCTGCCACTAAAAACCATCTCTCCCTACTTTCCTGAAGCCACAGAACCAACCCATCACCCCTTCAGCACCTCAGGTGAGCAGTTCCCTCTTATCTGATTCAACCCCTGCAGATGTCCACACCTCTGGCTCCCCAAGCCTGCTGAAGCTCTAACTTTGGGAGGTGGAAAGGGAGACACTGGGTGCGGATACAGCCCAGAGGGTCTTAGGGATCTAGAGAACAAGACTAGCCCCCTGTACCTCCATGGGTGGGGAGGGGGTGTTTAAATTATGCCCAGGAGGCCAGCTCTGTGGCCCTACCAAGTGACTTCTGTCAGGTCAAACAACCCCCTGGACCTCAGTTTCCCCAGGATCTTCATCCAAACTGAAAGTTTCTTTCTTTCTAGTTGAGATTGGAGGCAGATGCTGTCTCTGAAAACATACACAGAAAGGTGGCATCCTTTGCCCCCTGGACGCTGCGGCCCGCCTTGAAACTCAGGCTGCCCAGCCTAGAACCGGACCCGCACACAACCCATCAGTGACGCTTTGGTTACAGAAACGGTGGAGCAGAGAGCCTCCTCCCAGTCCAGCCCAGTGCGTGGGCAGCAGAGCCCTGGGGAGTCCCTGGATGGATGGGGCGGGGGTGCTCTGAGAGGAACTCCAACCTACTCAGACAAGAGGCAGGGACCCCAGGCAAGCCTCCCGCCCACCTCCATCCTGGCATCCCATGAAGGCAGCTCTCCTAAGCCAAGGCCCTTCCTAGTGGGCGGCTTATCCCACCCTTTCTTAGGTACACGCCGAGGGACAGCCAATGTGCTCCGCATGTGGCGCAGTCTCCCTCACTCCCATCCCTTAAGTCCAGTCCCAGGTCGCCGAAAGCTCTCAAGCGAGCCATCCTTCCCCGCCCCCTCCCTGGTCCAGGACCCGGATTCTCATCCCTTCTCTCGGCATCGACAGTCCCCAGGCTTACCGCATCTGCGCCCTCACGGCCACTACCAGCCCCAGGCGAGGAGCTGGCTGCCAGGATCAGTGGCGGACAGCACTCTACCTGAGAGGAGACTGCCGGCGGGCCCTCCTTTTTCGCGGCCTGGTAAAGCCAGTTCCACCTGGCAAGGGACTATCAGCAAATTCCCCTCTGCATCGCCGCAGGAGCGGCATCCCGGCTCCTCCCAGTAGGAGTCAACCGTGGCCCCGCCCAACGCTGAACTGACCTGTCGGGGAACCCGGGCTAGATTATCATAAGCGGAGACCGAGGCTCTGCCCTGGGAATCCTGTAGCTCCCAGAAACCATGGTCATCGCGAATGCACAAGGCTGCCGCTCCCTGGCTGCGGTTGGCAGCGACTGAGGCTCTCTGGGCAGCTGCCTTGCCCACCCACCCTCACCCACGCCTCAAACTCTCCTCTGAGGCCTCCTAGCCCAGCTAGCCAGAAGCAAGGAAAGACATTCAGTCTCACTAAGATAGTGCTCTGCCACACCCAAGGACCACATCCGGGCAAGGCTCAGTTCCGATTCCTTGTTCAGCAGAAGAAAGATCTGTATGTAAACCACAACCCCACCCAGGAGGCCCACAGGAGTGGGACAAGCCCGGTCCATTTTGCCAGGACCACACTCCTCAAGTGTCTCAAGTTTCACCAAAGACCTTCCTACCCTGCTAGAGAGACTGGCTTTGAATTGGGGGGCTGACGCCACGGTTGTCCCTGTTGCCCCAAGACCACCAGACAAAGCAAGGGCTAGAGGGAACAGCATCTCTCCCTCTGTCTCTGGGTCAGGGCCTGGGCACACTTATTTAATAAACGTTTTGTTATGGAGGGTTCTCAGTACAGTAGCTAATGAGATAGGAGCCACTGCTGAATAATATTTTATAATGGTGAGGTATCGGCAGAGAGCCATTAACATATAAAAAGGCCTTGGAGAAAGAAAGCAGTGTGAGATGGGGTCGGGAGACATTGGAGGAGGGGGCAGAGGGTAACTATGACTTCCTGGATTTTCCTAGCCAGCAGCGATAGCACGCTTGCCGACCTGTGCTAGGTCTCCCCATGCCATGTCCCTGCTCCCCTCCCCCCACTACCGCCCTCCACCCTCTGGCTGGTCCAGCCTAGCCACCCCACAAGGTCTCAAGGCTAAGTCACCAGATGGGCTCTGTCAAGGTGAATCCCCCTGTGTGGGTCCCCCCTCATCTGCCTACTCCTCCATTCATCCGTTTGCTCACGGCACAGGAAGGCTTTCGACCATCCATGATTCTGCTACTGGATCCTGAGTTCCAGCCCCGAATCTGCTGTCACCGCGTGATACTGTCCTCAATAAGCCGGATCATTGTTTTTCCCTCTACAGAGGGACTGGGCTTCTCACGAAGAGCTAATGGATGTGGAGACAAACCAGATAAATACAAGTCTTGTTTAAGAATTCCCAGGCTAGGCGTGGTGGCACGCACCTTTCATCCTAGCATTTGGGAAGCAGAGACGGGGATCTCTGGGACTGTGTGGCCAGCCTGGTCTACATAGTGAGTTCCAGGATAGCCACAGCTATATAGAAAGACCCTGTCTCAAAAAAAAAAAAAAAAAAAAAAAAAAAAAAAAAAAAAGAAAGAAAGAAAGAAAAAAGAAAAAAAACCAACAACAAAAAACAGACAGACAAAAAAACCTTCAGTGCCAGTCCCAGCTAGACCACCTGAACACAGGACTTGACCTCTCTGAAACTCATTGTTTGCGCATGTGCAGTGAGGTAAAAAAATAAATAAACCTTAAGGGCTGGTCATGAGGATTAATTGCATGCCTTGAGAACGGTGACTGCTGCTGTTGTTAAGTTGGGAAACAGCAGAAAGCTGACAAGAGCAGGTGTTCTCTTCTCGGCTCCCTCATCATAGAACCTGCTACTGCTAGGCCATACCCAATCCCCAAAGCCCACGGCCAAGTGACCAGCTAAACCTGTAGCCTATCACATAGGGGATCATGCCCACACAAATGCCAGGCAGACACAATGGAAGAAGATGTGGCTGGGTATCACAGCCATGCAAATGCCAGCCATCCAGGTGACGGTAAGGCTTGTAGAAGGTTCTTGGTGAAGACGCAGCCTGGTGTTTACAGGCATGTGTACTAAAGATACCTTGCTGTCACTCACGTGGATCAGAGTGTACTTTGGACCTGCGCTGTCATCTCTGAACACTGTGAATGCTGTTGTCTTCATAACTGCATTGTTAAAAATCCAGTGGGTTTATTTTGTCATTTATTATTTCTACAATACTCTGTCTGCATGTACACCTGCACGCCAGAAGAGGGCACCAGATCTCATTATAGATGGTTGGGAGACACCCACGTGGTTGCTGGGAATTGAACTCAGGACCTCTGGAAGAGCAAGCAGTGCTCTTAACCCCTGAGCCATCTCTTCGGCTCAATCCAGTGTTTTAAAAACAAAACAAAACAAAACAAAAAATCCAGTATTTTGCAGGGATCATAATCAAGGGTAAATTAAGAGCTGAAGGACTCTGAGTAGCACAGAGGAGACTGCCTGGCTAAGTAGGCTGCTCTTCCTGCATGAGAGCACCTGGTCTCTTCCAGTGGAGCCCTCCTCCATTTACTCCCCATTACGGTTTTAATGTCAAAGGTCTTCCACAGGCTTATGTGCTGGAACACTTGGTTGGTCAGAAGCTGGTGGCACTGGCTGGGGACATTGTGGGACTTTTGGAACAGTGCCTAGTGAGCAGAAGTGGTTTGCTGGAAAGGGTGGGCCTGGGAATTGCTTGCCATTTCTGCTTCGGCCCGAGTTCTGTCCTCCACCATCCACCAAGATGTGAACAAACTATGTGGCAAGCTTCCCACACACACCCCCAACCAACTGGTGCCGGCCACAGACAGAGGCTTTCTAGACACCATGCCTTTCCCAGCCAGGATAGACTAGATATTCTCTGCAGCTGTGAGCCAAAATGAATCCTTCCTTTAAAAGCTGTTTGTGTCAGGTATGCCCCTGCAGCAAGGAGAGGAAGTAGCTGAACACATGGCCACAGTTTCAGCAGATGCGGGAGGAGTGGCTGCTAGTAACCAGAGCAGGTCCTTCCCTTCCCTCTCCCTTGTCACAGCAGATCTCTGAAGCCTGCACACCCTGTACTCCCGGCAACTGTGCCAGAGACCACGCCTCCTAGCGGCCACCCCACAAGTCAGGTGCAGCTCCAGACTAAATCCATTGCCAGTGGGATGACAGCGAAAATTATTCTTGAAACGGGAGCAGGCTGCTTCCTCTTCCTCTGTCCCCTTGGTGAAGACTGAAAGAGACAGAGTGAGAGGTGATACTGGGCCATCTTTGGTGCTGCTGGCTCGGATGCTAGCAGAGCCTGTCAGCATGACCTGGCGTGGAGTCTAGGCCTGAGATGATGGGTTGTGTTTGTTTGTTTGTTTGTTTGTTTGTTTGTTTGTTTGTTTTCTCTTGTCTATGAAAGATGGGGAAAAAAGACCCTTGAAAGTCATCTTCCCTGGGTCTCCAGTTTGACCAGGTAAATTAATAAGTAAGTGGGCCTGGTTATTCAACCCCAGGGTGGAGAAGCAGCTGGAGTAGAGGAAAGAGAACAGCTTAATGAAAAGAAAGAATGGGGCCAGCAAGATGGCTCAGTGGGTGAAGGCAATTGCTAAGGAAGCCTGGAGGCTTGAGCTCCATTCCTAGAACCCATGTAAAGATAGAACTACTCCACAGAGTTGTCCTCTGACTCTACATGGGCATAGCACACCCTTCTCAGTCATAAATGGATTTTCCAAAAGGTGAGGGAGAGGGGGTGGGGTAGCAGATAAAAAGTTGCTGGTAGCTAGACAGGAGCTGGAACTGACAAAGGCCCTCAGAGATGTGTCATTCACAGCCTCATTCCAGGGGGCTGGCGGGGCAGGGCTGTATTGTAGGATCCCACTGGAAATGGCAACATTGTCTGCCTCCCTGTGACCAGGCTAAATCAACAGCCGAGTATTTTCTTTTAAACAGAGAGCGACAATATCTCTGGGAAGTGACCTCAGTTAAGAGAACCTCGAATAAAGCTTTATATGTTAGAGAGGTTCGAGAGATACCTCAGCAAACATCACCCAAAGCCACGCCTTTCCTTGAGGAACACAAAACAGATGTTTTTGATTCACCACCATTTGCTCTAACCTTCACAAGATGAGAAGTCTTTTTATGTCCAGTTTCTAGAAAATTAACTTGCTTACTAAGGCCCAGTTGGCTTGGAACCTTAGCCTCTGAAAATGACGTTCCCAGCCAAAGGAGAACTGCAGGAGCTGGCCTTCACCACCAGACTGTCCGGGGACCTTTGTTGACCCCTGCAACTGACAGCTGGTGTCTGGAAACCATTGCATCTGCAACATGCACCTGGGCTCCCAAAGATCTACGAACACAAAGACCTTCATTGTAGGGGTGCATGTGATTGCCAGAATTAGGCACAACCAAACAGGACCAAAGTGCTTGGTGACTCTCAGAATGAAAAAGATGAAAGAGCCACAAAAGCAGGCAAGCAAAAACAGTGACTGCACATTTTTCATGGGGTTATACCGATGGCTTTAGGCTCAGAGGTGGGGGAGCCTTACAGCTCGATACCTCACGGCCTGGCACTGGGGAAGATGGCTAGGTAGGAACCTGGAGGCGACAGGAGTCAGATTGAAGATCCTACAGGACCCAGAATTTGAACTCTTGATGCTGACAGGGATAATATTTTCAAGTTGGAGTCAAGACAACATTTATATCCTAAGGGAAAGTCCAGCTATCCAGGGTATCCTGTTCTCAACAGACAAATGAATATTCGGTAAAAGAGTGGGTTCCTGTCAACAGCTCAGGCTTTTTTTTTTTTTTTCTCATGTTCCAACTCATCTTGCCTGGGGAAGGGAATTTGGTTTCCTGAGTAGGTAAGAGAGTCATACACCACCTTCGGTCTAATCAGACGTGGGGTTGTATATCCATAGAGAGCTGAAGGTCTGGGTCCTAGGTCTACCCATATGTCCTGATGTCCTTTGGGAATGGCATGTCCCAAGCTAAGGACCAAAGTGGAAGACCCTGAGAATCACTCGGCTCTTTCTCATGGGGGAACCCAGACATCTCTTCCTGGGGCAGCCCTGAACTCCATCCCTCGATAATTTTCTATGG